CCTGTTTGCTGACAAAGCTTACATCTCCTTGGGCTCCTGTACAGCCTCCCCGTCCTTGGGGTGGTTTTCTTGGTATTGGTAGAGCCTGGGAACCAGTCTGGGTGGAGGTCCTGTGAGAGTTATCTGTGGGGTGTGCTGCCCCCTGCGGGCCGGGAGCCTTAAGCCCTGTGGCCACTTCGCACGGCCTGTTCTCTTCTGATATGGGAATACCAGGAAAGTAAACAACGTGATCTCAGTAGAGCCTTATTGAGCACTGCCTGCGTTCTGGTCCCTAACAGAGATACAGGGTGCTAGGGGTTAAGTGTGCAGGCCCTGGAGTCAAGCCGCTTGCATTCAAACCCTGGCTTCCACTCTTACTGTGAGACCTGGAGCATGTTGCTTTGCTGACCTGCAGTTTCTCACTTGTAAAAAGAGATATAAAAATAGTATTTAATTCATTGTTTAGTTATAAAAATTAAATAATTCATATAAAATCTGGAGTAGTAAGCAAAAGAATTATTAGCAATGGGTAATAATTACAAGCTTTTAATTTTCCCATCACCTTTGGATTCGGTTCTTCACAATATCATTCCATTGTTTTGTTCACATCTGGTGATTTTCCCAATCAACTGCATCCACATTCAAATGTTAGTACAAAACCAATTTGAGAGCCAAATGTAAATTTTTAAATTTAACTTTGATTTAGTCCAGCAAACATTTGTTGATTATTCTGTGCTAGGCACTATTCTGGGAGCTGGGGCTGTTATTAGGAGTAAGGTGCGTGTTCTGCCCTCCGGATGTTTGCGATTTAGAAGGGAGAATGAGCATTTAAACATTCCAGGCGAAGGAAACAGTGAGCAAAGGCACAAAAATGAGAAGCCCGGAGAGCCAGAACCAAAACGAGGATGTGCAAGCTACTGTCAGTGGCTAGAGTGTGGTGCATGGAGATAAAGGGGCAGGAGGGCTGGGTGTGAGGGGAGGGAGGAAAGAGGGTGACCTGGTAAGACATAAGACCAAAGAAGTTCAGGTCATCCAGAGCTCGAATGCTATAGTTAAAAATTAATTCGAAGGCAGTGGAGAGAGTCACTGAAGGGTTTTTGGTAAGGGAGTGATGTGATCAAATTGTGTTTTAAAAAGGTTATTTTTCACTTAGGGATAGAGAATAAACTGGAGAAGGCCAGACTGGGAACAAAGATTGCAATAGTAAATCATTGCAATTGGCCTATAGAGAGGTGATGGGGACCTGCACCAGGACAGCAGTGAGGATGAAGAGGGAGCTGAAGAGGAAAAGGGAAAGGTACAAGAAATGCTAAGGAGCCTTACTTGATGGGTGAATGGTGGTGCCATTGTGTGATAAGAAATACAGGAAGAGGGGGATAATAATTCATTTTCCATTTTGGAAATGTTGAGATAGAGGTGCTTGCAAAATAAGCACGTAGGGATGTCCAGTAGGGGACTGGATGTTTGGGTCTTGTGCTCAGTGTGAGCCTTTGGGCTGGAAATGCATGCGTGGTAGTCCTCTGCCTGCAGGTGGTAGTTGGACCACAGGAATAGGTAGAATTACTCAGGGAAGGCGGGCGGAGGAAGAGAGGAGGCCATGGAAAACACCCCAGCTGGGCTTCACAGATAAAGGCTGAGCAAGGCATATGCAGCCAGCAGAAGAGATAGAAAAGGAAGAGGGAAAGCAGTAACAGGTGGTGTCTGAACAAGCCATAGAAGAGAAGATGTCAGAAGGAAGAAGGCAGCGTGTCAGATGCTGTCGAAGGATCGAGTGACATCAAGATGGTGAGGGCCACTGGTTCAACAAGTAGAGGATTCTGTTTGAAAACATCCACGTCTTCAGCTCTCATATGTAAAGCTGGGTCAGCAGTGCCCTTTATGGGGAGAGAAAAAGATAAGATAGGGACCACACAGGGAGAAGAATCTGTATTCCCGAGAAGCCCGAGTGGGTGGAGCGCTTGTTGCAGCACAGCTGGCGCTGCCAGAGCTGCTCACAGGTGAGCCCAGCCATAGGCCGCGAGCTGGGCTGCGCAGACGCACACTCACGGTCCCACTTCCCAGAGGACACCATGACAATTTCATTATAAATTCTTTTAGACCTTTTCCTCTGCGTATAAACACATGTGTTTATTACATAAATGTAATTTCTGTTATAAATTATGTAATAAATAAATATTGGCTCATACTGTGTCTGCTCTTCTGAGAATCTGTTTTCTTTTTCCACTTAACTGAATAATCACCTTTCCATATTGAATAATTCTAGTCTTTAATGGCTGCAAAATATTTATTGTTTGAATGGACTATAATTTACTTAACAAATTGAACTCTTAATGGTGAGCTTGTAAGTTATTTTTAGCTTTTCACTGCCACACACAGTACCCGAATGAATTTTTTTTAACGTAAATCTTCTTTGCACACCTTGGCAGGGTGAGAGTAGGTTAAATTCCAGGGACTGTGTCTTTTTCCTCTCCGTACCCTCGGGACCAGGCATAAAGTAGGTGTTTAGTACTAAGGTATTAAAATGGCCTGGCCTTAGCTCTTGAGGTCCTCCAGTGTCTCATTTATCTTTTTATTTTAGCATCCATAACAGTGACCAACAAAAATTTCTCTGCTGAATGAATAATCTCAAGGATATGGAGACCTCTACTCAGAAAGGAGATGTTGAGTAGTGACCAGCTTTTAAGTGATGCGTGTGTTTCGGAAGCACCTAAGTGTTGCCATCCAGTCCAGGAAGCACCTCGAGACACTCCTCTCCCCTCTCCCGGTGAGGGGCACTGGTATATCCCTTTCTCTGGGCAGTAGAAAGGCCAGGTACCATTTCTAGGTAGATAATTGCCTAGATTGAGAAGTTAAAGACTCTCATTTTCCCTTCAGAATTACATTCTTTTTCATCTGCGGGATGCTTGTCACAGAACCGTAAAAGCAGGTACGTTTTCTCACTCGGCCCTGTGTGACGAGTGCCCGGTGTAAGAGCGGGCCTTCCGCAGATGCGTGGAGAGTGAAGGAGTCATTGGGTGTTGGCCTGCACAGTTGGCTAATGAACTTCCTAAGTGTTTCTGACCACTCCCCCGAATTTAAAGCCTTTTTCTGCTTCCCTTTGTTCAGTGATGATTCTTTTTATTATATATTAAATTCTTGTGTATAATAAGGTCTATTCCTGAACTTTTTAATTTAGTAGGTCTTTTTTTTTTTGGTGCTAGTCCATATAATTTTAATTATTGTTGCTTATAATATATTCTCATATTTTATAAAGCTACTTATACCTGATAATTTCTTTTTTCAAAATAATATTTTATATATTTACCCATTTATATTTCTATAATAAGTCTAGTAAGATAGGTTGTATTCTAATAAAAACAGCCTATTAAGATTTTTTATTGAGATTATATTAACTTCAATATATTGGCATGACTTTACTAATTTTCTTTATATAATATGGTATTTTCCCCCTTGTATATTTTAGTAAAAATAAGTTATTCTTCATACGGGCCCTTCATTCCACAACAACTCCCCCCCACTGTGCTGTCTGCTAGAGATGCAGACAGGTGCACACGTCACAGCTCCTACCCTCAAGGAGCCCACTTTGGTGAACAAGAGAGATAACTGATCTAGTTGCAACTAATTGTAATAGTTATTGTGATAAACAAAGTCTGAGGTGCTAAGGAAGCCCAGAGGAGGTGTAACAACCAAGACTGGGGGTACTAAGGAAGACTTCCTAGAAGAAGGGACTCCTGTACTGTGTCTTAAAGACAGAAGGGAAGTTAACCAGATGAAATGGGAAGAAAGAGTATTCCAGGCAGACAGAATGTTTATCAGAGTATATGTTCAAAAGTAGAGACTTTCAAAATACTGGAGTGTTTTGGAGTTGCAAGTAGCTTCAATATAGGATGACAGTGTGATAGCTGGAAATGAAGCTAGAAAGTGGGTGGGAGGGTGGCACATGATTGAAGGGACTTGTGTGACAAGCTGTGAATTTGGATATAGAATGGAAAGATTTAAGTGGAACAGTGAAATGGTCAGGTTTATGTTTTGGGAAAAGAAATCCCTAAAGAGAAAATAATAAAGTTAAATAAAGGAAGGCACTTCTGCCTCCTGTGGAAGATGGCCTTGAGGGGTTCCGAACATCACACATGATAGTTTGGACTCAAGAGACTCTTCATCTGTAGCAGTCCATGACCTTACCCCCTTTTTCACAAAGCCAGTGCTCTAGGCCCTGAGCTATGGCACCAATTTACCCCCCTTTTTTAAAAATGCCATTTACTGTTATAGAAGCCAGGTCTGTTGTTCTGTAGAATGTGCCACATTTTGGATCTGTGTGTTACCTCATACTATATAATTTATCCGACTGCCTCTCATATTTTCTATAAACTAGAAGTCAGCTTTGAATGACTCATTGGATTCTAGTTCATCTTTTTGAGGGGAGGATGGTACAAGAATACTTCATAGGTAGGGCTGTGCATTGCTACCTCTGTGACAGTCCCACTCTTGGGGATGCTGATTGATCAGTGGTTCAGATATGACAGCGCCATTATAAATTTCCCCATCAGTCTTTCATCAAATGAGCTCATCTACTGAGGATTATCACCTTCAGGAATTATTTCATTATGGGCAACAATTCTTTTTAATGTCAATCTTTTCACATTTATTAGCTGAACAAAGAACATGCCCTCAGTAACTAGAGCTATTTGGTTTTCTGAAATACAATATGTACCAAAAAAGATAAGAAAAATGCTTAATTCATTTTCTTTTATTGCAATTTTTAGATTGAGGAGTTGGTACCTTAGTTGTTCGGTTTTAAGTATCTGTTGATTGTTTCTGTTTTATGACTTACTACATTGACTAGTCCAGTGATTATCTTGTAATCTTCATTTTTGAGAAATGGTTTTCATTTGCCCAAGAGCCTCAGAATTTTTAGGTGTGTGTATTACTTTCTAAGTGTCATAGACACTTCAGTTCATCTAGTCCTGTACTTTTCAGAAGACAAAACAACCTTTCCTTTGGTTTCCCTTCTCTCCTTCCAGGTCATACTGTGAACAAGATACGTCAACACTCAGACCCAGAAGTGGCTTGTCTTGCCAGAGAAGTTTACACTGAGTGGAGAACTTTCATTGAGAAATACGCGGATAGACCTTCTATCGAAGTCCGGAGTGATTCCAAAACTGAGACATTTAGGAAAAATGCCCAGAAATTGCTCTCAGAAGCATTGGAATTGGAGGTAATGTCTGGTTGGAATGGGATTACTAGGAGATCTTGGTTAAATGAGCCTCACATTTTCATGATGAACCTTCATAGTCGCAATGCTGAGGATCTATTTTGTTTTTTTTCTTTAAGGGTCTGGATTTGTAATCATTCTGGGAGACAGCATTGTAGAAAGGAACTGGCAAAACCTGGACTAAAACCCGGGCTCAAGCTGTGGCACTTTAGGCAAATCCCTTAACACTTCTGAGACTTGATTTTTGTATCTGTAAAATTATTATTATTCCTACCATCTAAGGTCATTGGAAAGAGCAAATGATCCATTTATACAAAAGAATAATACAGTGCCTGGTGATTAGAAGTCACTTAGTGAAGGTTGGCTCCTTCCGTTTAAAATCCTTTCCCTTCCCACTGAAGCAAAAATTCTGGAGTGGACTCTGTTACAGAATACTAATGGCAAAATAAATAACTTTTCTCCACATTCATACCTTTGGTTCTAAAACATATAATCAATTGGCTAGACATAATTCCTATCATCTTCATAGTCAACAGTTCAGCTGACATTAGTGGTTTAAGATGCAATACTGGAAGGATTTTTGCTCACTAACAATAATATGAAACACCATCATTAAACAAATCTTATAGGTCAGTTTATACTCTGGAAAAATCAGACATATAACATCTACATTTTTGTTTTTCTTGGGGTATCCCTATTAAAGTTCCCTTAAGAATAATTTAATATTCTTTTAATGAAAGAAGCAATTCGGAAGTCTGATTAAAATGCTAGATCTGCCCTGGCTGGCATAGCTCAGTGGATTGAGCGCGGGCCTGTGAACCAGAGTATCGAGGTTCGATTCCCAGTGAGGGCACATGCCTGGGTTGCAGGCCAGTTCCCAGCAGGGGATGCATGAGAGGCAACCATACATTGATGTTTCTCTCCCACTCTTTCTCCTTCCCTTCCCCTCTCTCTTGAAAAATAAATAAATAAAATATTTTTTAAAAAGTGCTAGATCTGTTACTACATTATCTGAAAACATTTTAACCTTTCTATTTAATTATGCATCCACAAAAGAAAGGTGAATAGACTTCTGGTATATTATTTACTTTTTTAAAATAAAGTTTTGGGTTTTTAATACAAACTTATGATAGAAAATGGGGAAAATATAGAAAGAAAAATGAGGTCAGCATTGAACTTACCAACCCAGACATAATTGTGTTAACATTTTGGTGCATTTTCTGTTTGGTAAATTATTAGAGCTTTTTAAATGAATGCTATAAAGTTATGATTATCCCACTATTAAGAGCCAATTATATGGTAACTGTTCCATAAGATAGTTTTATTGATTATTTAAATAACATGGCAGAAAATTGACAGTTATTTACATTTGTACTGTTTTTAATCTTGATCAATATCAGTTAGTGTCATTTTGTATATCATTTTCTATATATGTTTATTTTTTCATTTTTATAATTTTTAATGTTATTTGATAGTTCAGCGAATTGCTGTGCTGTTAAGTTGGCTTACATTTTCCTAAAGAAAACTTTAATATGAAAATTAAATCCTTGGAAGAAAGAAAAATATGAAGATTATAAATCTAATTTTCCAGAATATTGATTAGCCAACAAGACTGGCTATTTGATATTTTAAAGTTTATTTTTTAAATAAACGAAAATGATTACAGAAACATAGAGTGTGGGTATATAATGTGTAGTTAATGTGCTGGTAAATACCAGTTCCCTGTGGTATCTTTTTAAGTAAATGATAATAACGAAGCAATGCTTGTAAGGATTAATGAGCAGTTTGCCTGCTATATTAAACTCCATAATAATTATCCTTTTAGTTTATCCATTAATTATCCTTTAAATGGCACATCAAGTGGTAAGCACTCAAGTGTTACAAAGCAAAGTTAAAAAAGTGATACATTCGTCAGTGCTTTCCAATGTGATTGGAAAAAATGCCAGATTAAGCACAGTTGAGTGGTTTTGTTCCCAAAGAGTGAATTTTAAAAATTAAAAGTATGCATCTTATTCTCTTCCTTGGCCAAAAAAACATACATATCAAATCTGTTTTTGTTGCATAAAACAGTATGGATAGTAATTTTATCAGTTTGATAAAGAATTATAAACACTTTTCCAGAAAAGTTAACTCCTAGCACCTGTTATCTGAAACAGTTCCATGTTAGGATAAATCAATGAGCCATCTAACCCAGTCAGTATCTAGTCTTTGACAATAACCAACGTTGAGTGCATTCAAATCAGAGATCCGATCTCAGCAAATGTACTTCATCAGGCAGTAGTGAGTCATTGGTAAGTTACTGGCCCAATGACTAAACAGCCTTTACAATCTGATCCTGACGTGTTTTTGTAGATCTACTCATTACCTTTTTGCGGAAAAATTATTTTCATGCTTTTTGTTTTGGTCATATTCTTTACTAGTGAAAACCACAGGTGAGCATACACACACAGCCAAGTTGTCTCTTTATTACTATATAGATCTTGCTTTCCAAATTCATGGATTGTTTCCTTGTTCTTGGAGTAATGGAACAGATGAATGAACACTCTGTTGTTGAGACCCTGGCTCCATTCCCCTTTACTTTCTCCCTTTCGGATCTTCTTTGTTCTGCTCTGTCTTTTAGATCTTTCCTCGTATGAACATTCCCTGTGGTGTCATTCTCTTACTTCCCCTTCCTCATTATCCACTCTCCTCCCTACCTCATGGCCTGTGATCATTTTCCTATTATGTCATTAAAAAAAAATGAACCCGATTCTCAAAGTGAGCCTGTATCATTAAGAGTTATGAAACGCTGGCTGGTTGGCCCAGTTGGTTGTCAGATGGTGCTAATGAGATCCAGGTCAGGGGTACGTCCCCATATGGAACTGTTAGTTTTTTCTTTGTTTAATGGCTTCAGGCTGCACCTCTGGTTTGGACCAGCTCTTTTATAAATGTATTTAAGTGGTCAGAAAGGAGTGTGGTTAGATATGTACAAATCCAATCATCCTATGCTAAAACCCACACAAAGTTTGCTTCCAGTGGACATTCAACTCAACAAATGTTTAGTACTACTACTACTGGTGCCAGGGGAGAAAGCAAACAGAAGTGCGTTGCACTCCCTATCTTAAGAAAGCTTCCTGTCTCCTGGCTGACAGCCTGTAAATGACTAATACAGGGCAAGATGAAATAGATCTGAAATAGTGGTACTAGCAAGTGGTGTAGACACACAAAGGACAGAAGGTGAAATCTGATGGGGGACCCTGGGAAGGTTTTACAGAAGAGATGGCAATTGAACTGGCCTTTGCAGGAGGGGTAGGATTTTGCTAACTAGAAACACATATAAAGTAGAAGCATTATATTTCGCATTATATTTTTTATCTACTATGTATAGGATGTATTTCAAAGAGTAGGAACAGAGGGAGGTTACCTAGGGGGAAAAGGACATTCATTTAACAAGTATTTACTGAGCTCTTAGCATCTGCTAGTACCTGTGCTGGGCATGGGGGATTTAGAAAGGGATCCAACACAGTCCCATCCCTAGAGAGGCTCTCACAGTCTTCTGAGAGATAGTTACAGTATAATGTAGAAGCTCTGCACTTAAGGCACGCATGTGAAGAAGGCCTTGTTCCCTTTTTCTAAAGGGCTAACAGATGTGGTAGACATCACTAATTGATTGTAGCACCATTTCCCACTGAGGCCAGAATCCTCGATGAAGACAGCTCTAGGTGGTCATGTTTTAGATCTTCTCCCAGTGATAGCCAGTTCGTCCAGGATTGGACAACTGAGTAACTCACGGGTACAAATAGATAGGGAAGGCAAATCAAATTCTGTCTCTGAGAAATATGAACTAGGAAATACTAAGAAAACAACAGTAGGAGTGTTGAAACAGAAAGGATGTTGGAGTGATGAGGAAGCAGAAGCTGTAGGTAGAGATGTGTAGAATATGGGGAGAGACTGTGGCAGTTAGAATTGGTACTAAAGCACACGGAGAAGAGCAAAGACCTGTGAGGATGAAGAGTGCAGGCAGATCATCAGAGACCGAGAAGGCATGTGGTCCCTAAATAAATCTGTATGTTTTTTAACGGCATTCCTATCCCCATTCCTACAGTTGCATTGCACAGCAAAACCCCTTTTTTCTTGAGGTTTCAGTGAAACTGGTCCTTTAGATAAGTCCCCACGGGCTTTACCTAGTCTCCAGGTTAGGACACATTAGAAAGGACTCAGTAACTTGGCGGGGGGTGCGGGTTATCCAAAGGCAGTTATAAGATAGGCATTCTTCACTTTGTGCAGTGAACTTGCTATACACAAAGGTACGTGATGAGTCATTTTCCCATAAAATTTACATTTTAATATCACTGGTGTTTTTTCTTCATTTCTTCATTCTGATTGGCCTTCATGTAATAAGAAGACAGGAGAATTGTTCGATGCTTGTTCCCTGTTCCCGCCACATGGTGGGTAGAACACCTCTACACTACCCCACAGCTGTCTGTGTACATGCCGTCTCCTTCCTGGGCTGTGAGGTCCTGGAGGGTCAGGGTGGGTCTCTTTTGGCCAGTCTCCGCACTCCCCAGATCAAGCCAGACTCAGCCTAGCAACTCAGTGACTATTTGCTAAGTGAAATAATGTATGAGTATCCAGTTCGGTAAATTCCAGGGTACCCTACAAGTTCTTTTTTTATTTTATATATATAGTACAATTTGATGGAATGGCCACAACCTGTTTTTCAAATACATGTATATATACTCTTTTCCCCCCAAACAGCCGCTCCCCTTAAAAAAATTTTTTAAAAACACTTTTTTCTTGACTGTTAAACTGAGTGAATCTCTGAACAGGGACCAGCCATCCTCACACTGGACTGAGGAGCCTCTCTGGCATGTGTTTCTGGACGGGTGCTGGGCAGCCAGCCAGCCACCCTCCCGGCCTCCCGCAGTAATCTGCTACCAGGGCCGCCTCAGGCCAGGGGCTAGGTCAGTGCCCACCCAGGAGGCCATGAAAAGCTTGAGGAGCCTGGGTTCTGGACAGCCACGGCGCCGAGTCCACTCACTCCAGCACAGCCTAGGTGGTCAGTCATCGGGACCACACACTTCCCTGAACGTCTTCTGTCTGCTGTACTTAGGCAGATGTCTGGGCCTGGGCGTTCATCCTCTGTCTCTTTCTTTCTCAGTTCTGTTCTACTCCCTGCTTGGTCCTTATTTCTTCCAAATTCCTTTTCTCTATTCGTTTTGGTCTGTCTGTTCCTTATATTAGGATATTTTTAAATGTCAGGTGATCCTTTTTACTTTTGGTGCATTTTATTCTTAAACTTTTCATTTTAAGCAAGAGTGCAATATATACATAGCAAAAGTGCACAGAAGATATACGTACTGGTCAGTGAATTTATCACCAAGCAGATGCTCACTTTACCCAGCCAGGTCCTGCCCTCCTGGCTTGGGTCCCTCTGCTGTACCCCCGCGTCCCCACACGCATGTCCGGCCTCTTTCCCAGCATTCAGTACTCTCACAGCCCCAGTTCCTTACCTGTTTCTTACTGGACCGTGCCCTCCATGGAGTCAAAGACTGCGCCAGCCTTAGTCACTGCTTTTTCTCCCTCCCCAAGCACAGAGCCTGGCACATAGTCTGTGCTGAATAAATATTTGAATGAAGGGAAAAAAGGAAGTGAGAGACATTTGTGTCCTGTGTTCAAGGATCTCAGTCTCAGGGGAGACAAACCAAAGATGGATCATGTAATACATTCGGTAATGACTGAAGGGTGCTCCAGACGTGGTGGCCCAAAGCAGAACCGTCAGAACTCTGAGCTAGCGTTTGCTTTTGTTGTTTTGTGTTTTGGTTGGCTTATTTGTTGGGGGTTTTGGGGTGGTTGCATTTTACTTTTTAGCTGAGTTTCGACATACAAATGGGAATGTGTTTCCTAGGCGAAGTGTACCTTGCTGAGGGAGCACATACTGTGCGGAGGCATAGAGGTGTGTGTGAAAGCAGCTTAGTGGGCTCATGCTGGGCCTGCTGGGGACTGATGAGGGAGGAAATAGTGGGGGGTGAGCCTGCAAAGAAAGCTAGGGTGGAGGGGCTCCCTGACCAGCAGGGCTCTCTGACCAGCAGCGCAACCTCACCCGGATCCAGGCCGCGTGGACAAAGTTCCAGACCTGTCCTACTTTAATTACGTCTGTGGCCTTAGGAGGACTTGGGCCCGAGCCAGACCACGCCAGAATTGCTACAGGTCACACCCCCTAGGCCTGCTCTGCTCAGCTGACCCCACAACGTCTCTCCGAACTCGACTGGTCTCTCAGGATGTTGAGGAGGCAGTTAGTATGGTGAAAAGGAAGAAGCGTGAACTTTGGAGTTGGGGCTCCGGGTCAGAGTCCCAGCTCTGCCTCTTAGTGGTTGTAAGCCCTTGAACTTTTTACCTTTGAACCCACTTCCTCGTCTGTAAAATGAGATAATAGGAGTTGTGAGCATTAAATGTGAGAAGTGATTTACAAACTGCTCTGCACATACTAGGATTCAGATCCAGTGCTTGTGAAATGCAGTAAGGGGTTAAAAGGCACTTTTAAAACAAACTCCCCCCAGAAAGTATAAACTGTTACACTGATTTATTGCCCTTGGTCTTCGTTTCCTGGTCGGTAAAGTACAGGGCCCAGTACCCGTTGCTTAGTTCAGGCCAGTTTCCTGTTATAATGGCAAATATTACCACCCGGCAGGGGTTGTGAATGAGGTCCCTGTCACAAAGCACATGGCCTTGTTCCTTAATTGCCAGGGTGGAATTAATTTGCTCTTCCTGTTTCTCTTGTGACAGGAAGTAGATGTCCTTGAATTTCAGTTGATTAATGGAAGCCTCTGAGCAGAGTGTTCCAGCCTCTCTTGTTTTTTAATCCGTATGCAATGCAAGGCCCTAATTTGATAATTTTGCTGTTTTTTAGATGGATCACCTACTGGTTGAAAATATTGAGCGGGAAACGTTTCATCTCTGCTCCCGCCTCATTAATGGGCCGTACAGGCGGACGGTGAGAGCCCTGGTCTTCACATTAAAGCACCGAGCTGAAATCCGGGCCCAGGTGAAGGACGGCACGCTGCCAGTCGGCACGTTTGTACAGACCCACAGAAAATGACCCGAGGACGGTTCTAACCCTGGGCTCGGCAGAAAAGAGAACGGGCCCCTCTCTGCCATTCAAAGACTCCTTTGAGTTCGGGTGATGGCTGATGCTGGCTGTGCTAAATTTTCCCATGGTGCCATTCCTTCAGACAGAGGATGCAGGCAGCCCTGGGAGACGGGCCTGCGGGAAACGCTTCATTAGCTGTCGTGCGCCGGTGCTGCCCCACAGGATGTGCGCCGGCTGTCACTAGGAAGCCGGTGCCGTATGGTTGCCATCACCCAACACAGCAAAAGGTGACGGATTTCACTGTGAATATGCCAAGGACACCTCTAAACTTCCCCCACGTCAGGCAGATGAAGTTCCTGCTTTATTTCGCCACCCTGCAGGTAACTGAAACTCAATTACTGCTGCCGCTCACTTGGTCCCGTCCCCCCGAGTTTAGACAGCTCTGGTGCCTCTCAGAACTCCCCTGTCTGTTCTCTCCGCTCTACCCCAGGGGTGAGCCTGCCGCAGCCAGCCAGCTACCCCTTCGTTCCAGAACTCGCTTATCTGAACGTCTCGGCTCCCCCCGGAAACCCTTCTGTGCGGGTCTCCGGAGCCCATGCTGAGGCTCCTAATGAAGAACGGACCTGAAGCATCTCCACACCTTGGAGTTTATTGGAATACGTTGACTCTCTGGGTCGAGGGCCCCGTAGAAGATACATAATGAAATTCCTCTTAAAATGAATTACTGGAGTAGAAATATTACATACATATATATTTTTTAAAATGAAATGTCTCTATATAGTTCTGCTTGAACAATTATGTAAATGATATTTGCCTTTTTTTTTAAGTAATAATAAACTGGGACTTTTTCCTAAAATAAAAGATATGGCTTGCTCATTGAAAAGGGCTCTGTGTTGAGAAAAAGTATAGTTGGTGAAAGTGAAGAATGATTGGATGAGAATCTGAGATAGCAAGATCCAAGGAAAGTTTGTGAGGTTAGGGGAGACTGGTATATGTTTGTAATCTGAAAAGGCAGAGCTAATAAAACAGGGGAGGTTTATAATAAAAAAAAGATGATGGGTTAAAAAGCAAGGGCAGAAAGGAAGGCACTATTAACACTGTCTACCTCCCGAGTGCCAGATAATTCACTAGCATTTACATTGATTTTACAGTTTTTTTTAATCCTGTTTAGTCCTCTCATCTGTTCTGTTAATAGGTATTGTTTCAGTTTTTTTAGGTTTCTTCATTTATTCAGCAACCATTTAGTGAGCGCCCACTCCACGAGGTACTGTGGATGCGTAGTACCACAGTACTTCTACTGTGGAATTGTAGACGAGACTTCGAGGCTCACCAAGCAGAAGCATCTTGTTCAGTTTTCCACTGGTAGGAAGTACTGGAAATAGTAATTAAGTACCTCCCATGTGCTCAGCACTGCGATAGACATTTTTATAATAATAATACTAATAATAATAACAACATCCCACTAAAGATGAGAATAATACTAATAATAATAACAACATCCCACTAAAGATCCGACTGGTTTAGTCACTTACTCAAGGTCACACAGATAGTGAATGGCAGAGCTAAGATTCAAAACCCAGGTCTATTTGACTGGATTCCGTCTCCCTGGTTGATTTCATTTACTCTCATGGTTACATGAGATGATACTCTAATTTGCATCTTCAGACTGTGCCTGGTCCCTGAGTTTCAGACGGCAGCTCAGATGTAACATGTCTTCTCTCACTTGGCAATACTGGCAACCCAGGCACTCTAGCTAGGAACCTGGGGGTCACCTACACACCGCCTCTCCTACCCTGACCCAGTCAGGTCCGAAAGGTTTTACTTCTCACATATATTCAGAATCTCTTGCCCCTTCTCCATTTCTAGGCCACTTTAGGACTTTACCCTCTGTGGTCCCGATTGACCACAGGGCTTCCTAACTAGGCCCTTTGCATCCAGGCTTAGCCTCTTCACATCTATCTCTCTCTGCTGGAAACAGTGACATGTCAGCACCGTAAGTCCCAGCATGTCACCCCCCCCCCAAGCATTTTCTCATGCTGTTGTCTCTCTGAAGTGCTGTTCTACCTAATTCCCTCTCCTGCCCCTACCGCAGTATCCGGTGTATGGTTCTGTACCTACCCACGTGTTCTGTGGCTGTGCTTGTGATTCTGTCTCCCCACTAGATCGTAACACAAACTCATAGCACAACATCACGGTGGTTACCAGAGGGGGGAGGGAGGGCAAGGGGAAGAAAAAGAGGTTAAAGGGCGTCAAAGACGTGGTGATAGAAGGAGACTAGACATGGGGTGGTAAGTACACAGTGCAATCTACAGATGATGTTTTATAGAGTTGAACATGTGCAACTTATATAGTGTTAGTAACTGATGTTACCCCAGTCAATTTAATTAAATTTACAAAATAATTTAAGCTTCATGAAAGCAGAGCCTCCATTTTACTCCTTGCTTTATCTCCAGTGCCTAGAACAAAGCCTGGCACAAACTTGTTCTCCGTGACTGTTGAATAGTTGAATGACTAGTCCTGGGAGCGCAGAAAAAGCATCTAATCCAATCAAGTAATACTCCCTGGAGGAGGTGATACCTGTATGCAACAAGTCTTAAAGGGCAGAAGTAGTTAATTATGTGATTGAGGTGAATGCGTGGCAAAGAAAGCAGAGTATGGACTCAACTGTGAGATGCCCGGAGGGTGACTGGTATGGTGGGAGCAGAGGCAAGTAGCTGGAAATGAGGCGGGAGAGGAGGACAGGACCAGGGCCAAATCTGAAGGGTCTTGAGCAGCAGGTGAAGTTGTATGGACTGATTCCAAACAGGAACTGGTTAGTCTTTTGTTAATAGACTGGGAGAGAAGCCGGAGCAGGGGACAGACCAGAAGTCAGAAGCTTTGTTTATAAGCAACCAAAAAGTTATGCTAACTTAAGAACCCAGAGTAAGTTGAAAACAAATTGCTCTGTGGCTGAAAGGCTTCAGTGGTGAGAGTTGGAAAGTAGATTGATTGCAGAGATGTGCTTTGGAGATTTGGAAAGCAGGCTGTGCTGTTTGTGGCCATTTTCTCCTTGATGCATGTGCAGAATTTCCATGAACGCTAATGCGGCTGCCATTTGTCGAAGGAAGGCCTTGCACACGTCCCTCCCAGCTGACCCACCCTCTGAGAAGCACCTGTTAGAACTGAAGGGTTTGGCGGGTTGACAAAAGTTCCTAGGACCTGAGTCACCTGTAAGTCTAAGCATGAATATGTCTTCTAAATGTGTTTGGTTGCAAGAGGAAGGTTGGGAAATTAAATACTGTTAGAATCTGTTTCAGCAGCTTATTGATCCTTTTCTTCTGATGGTTAAATTGGAGGTCCTGGTCCTTTGGTTAGGGACTGAGTCTTAATTTTCATTCATTCGGTCAACAAACAAATGTCGCCTGACTGCTCTGTGCCAAGGACTAGACTGGCATTGGGGAAACTGCAACAGATGAAATCCAAGTTCTGTCCTCGAGGAGCTTAGTCTGGTGCGGAGCCAGGCACTTCAGGAACTGACTGCAGTGTAGCAAACTAGGTGTTTATTGTGCATAACTATCTAAAATGTGGAGAAAGTGGAGAGAGGAGTGAATACCATCCCAAGGGAAAGAACAGTCTTCACAGACGGTTAATGTCCTCACAGACTTGAGCCCAAGTCTTGAAGGATGGATAGGAGTTCTTGGCAGGGGGGTCAGTACGTGTACAAAAGCCCAGAGGTGTCAAGTGTACACCTTGTGTCAGTAAAGTCAAATGACAGGAAGTGGTGGAGGCATGAGGTTCTTAGGAACGGTGGAGAGAAATGGGGCAGGGAAACTAGCCAGGGCCCTAGGGGCCTTGAGCAGAAGTTTGGGCTTTGGCCTTTGGACAGTGGGAGGCCATGAGACGTTTGGAGGAGGTGAGGGCCCTAATGGGATGTACATTTTAGAAAGATAAAAATGTTCCTACATAAACAGATAGTTTAAAATTTTAAACCCTTTTAAAACTCCAACATTTTGTGGTAAAGGAAAGAAACACTTGAGATTCAGTAAATTACAGATTTTTTTGTGTGTGTGACAAACGAAGTTTAGAGTTGACCAAACAGATGTCATTAGCGAGTCCCAGGTTTGACAAGTGGCAGGAAGCACAGATAATGCATTGGCTGTGTTCGGTGGTAAGGGAACAGGCAGCCGGCCTTTTTTCATTTAAAGAATATCAGATTCTTACACTTGTGCCTGTCAGCCTCGGTTTTCTTTTGCTGCAGCCTCAGGCCTCAGAGCCCCGTTCTGAGATCTGTAATGTGTTTCGGACGCGTTCATCACAGCCACATGGAAGGAAGGCTCAGTTTGTCACAGGCCATTGTTGCTACGGAAGGGAGTCCATCCGGAAAACAAGGCTTTAGGAGCTTCGATTAATTCAGTGACACTGCCTTGGTCTCCGAAGAGCAATGGTTTGATGGGGCGACATTGTATTTTTTTTAAGGTTTTATTTTTTATTTATTTTTAGAGAGATGTTTAGAGAAACATCAATCAATTAGTTGCCTCTCACACGTACCCCAGCCTGGGATCAGGCCTGCGACCCAGGCGTGTGCCCTGACCTTTCAGTTTGCAGAACGACACTCAACCAGCCGAGCCACCGCCAGTCAGGGCGACATCGTATTTTCTTTTAAATCAACCAAAATGATTGCTTCCTCATAGCTAAGGAAGTTGGTTTCAAGATTCAGGAAGACCAGGATGTCCAATCAAGTGCTGCTCTTTCATCCTGTTAAAGTCACTCTTTCAGTGCTTATTTGTTGAGTTCCAATGGGCCGGATCCAAGGGTCACAGGGATGAATAAGACATAGTCTGTGGCCCCAAGTTCCCAGTCATGAAGGTAAGTGCCAAGGACTAGATAAACCATTAAAAAAAGCAAATGATTATGAATTATGGGAATTTAAAGAAAAGGAAGTAAGCCAATAAACATGTTAGAAGATGCTCAGCCTCATCCGTAATCAGGGAGTGGCAAAGATAAATGTCATCCTTAAAGACCTAAAGGATGCAGAGGTAATGATTGCCGCTATGTCTCTATTTAATTTGCTGGCCCCACAAAAATCAGATGGACCCTGGACGATGGCAGTGAACTAGAGCAAAGTCAACCAAGTGGAAGTCCCCGTTGCAGCTGCTGTGCCAGATGTGGCGTCTTTCCTAGAGCACATCAACATGTTCTCAGTTACATGGTATGTAGCCATCGATCTGGTGAATGTTACTCTTTTCCTTCCCTATCAGAAAGGAAGATCAGTGTCTGTGTTTGCTTGGGACAGACGAAGATATACATTTACAGTTTTTCCCCAGGGCTGTTAATGCTCCCACCATCTCACAACCTGGTCTGAAAAGACCTGTACTGCCCAGGCATCCTGCAGACATCACAGTGGCCCACAACGTTGAAGACATCAGCTAACTGGGCCAGATGAGCCAGACACAATGAGTGTATCGGAGCCTCAGTGAGACACGCGCACTGCAGAGAGTGCAAGAAAACAGCATGAAGATTCGGGGTGCTGACACATCAGTGAAATTTTTAGGGGTCAGTGGTCTGGGATATGCTGGGGACATTCCCTCCAAAGTGAAAGACAAATTGTTGCACCTCCCCTTCCCCACTAAGAAGGAAGCACAGTGCCAGGTAGGCCTGTCTGGGTGTTGGAGGCAGCATATTCCACATCTGGGAAAACCGCTCCATCCCTTGCAGCTGATGGCACATAGGCTGCCGGTTCTGATGGGAGCTACAGGACAAGGAGCCATGCTGTGTGGACCATATGATCTGGCAGAATCCGTGGTATTTGAGGTGTCTGGTGGGGAGAGATGCCGACAGAGTTTACGACAAGGCCTAG